TAAGTCTTGATCACAGTCTAGCATTCTTCTGCTTACAGTAAGTCTTGATCACAGTCTAGCATTCTTCTGCTTACAGTAAGTCTTGATCACAGTCTAGCATTCTTCTGCTTACAATTTAAGGCCAGAGAACAAGAAAATATCTTTTAATAGAGACAAAATGTTAACACAGCTTATCTTAGTTTGGAAGGTGAAATTTGTTTACATTCTTTAATTAGAAATGCAAGGAATTAAAAGTAATTATGGTTAGTAGCCTGCATGATTACCTTAGAGTAATTATTAATTAGTTACTCTTTTTTAAACTAATATTATTACTACTATACTCGGGACTTCCCTAAAGGTGGTAGCAGGTTATCAATGAAACATAGGATAAGAACTAATTGGTAAGTCATGTCTATTAATAAAAAGTTTATTTTAAGGACTAATTAATAATTTTGGTAGTCATATAGGCTAATAAACATTACAACAACTGATACCTGACTGCTACAACCTTACTGTAAGTATGTAAAAATGAAAATATTATATTAGTGGAACTTGTAGTCTTAGGAATAGCCACATGATAATCAAATATTCATATACTTTTATAAAGAAATATTTTAATGATTTATACCTCAGGCTACATTCTTCATTAATTTTCTACAAAGTGTAACAAAAGTTGTTTTTATCTTGAAGACATTGAATTCTTCAAAGTCACAAATACTCCAATTATTGTATTTTGTCACTGATAATTGTGAAGTCTCAGTGTTATGGATAGCCAATCCATTTCAGTCTTCTACTTGAAAAACACAACAGAAAACAATACTCTAGTGTCTTGTTATACCCTGTAGTAGAGTTATATGGGTAATGGTGTTGAAGCATGGAGAAAGTACTAACTAGAAAGTGTGAAGTAAGTTGCTTTGGTAATATATCAAGTTAGGCTTAACTTTTGATGCTTTATTAGTTACAATTTTAAAATTCTGATTAAAAGAAATGATTAAGAGTGTCCATCATAATTGTCATATCAAAAATACTATTAAAAACAATAACACTGAGTAATAGGTAAAGAAATAATTTTAAAAAAGTTCTATAATGCCGAAGCTAAATGTGATATAACTAAATGACCAACACTCTACATAACTTTGATATATCATAGTTTATGCATTTTTTGTGAGGTCTTGAATTAAAGTTATTTTTGCATTTATCAAATACGCTCCAATTAATGGTGAGTTAGTAAATCAAGAGTGATTAAAATCAATTTATGATTAAAAAATAACTTATCTTTTAGTAATTAGTGACAACTGTTTTCAAAATAATATGAAACCTCGTCCTTTTCAACCCCCTGTGACAAAGTAAAATTAGAACTATCTTTTTGATAAATAAAACAAAATGTGTTCTGTTTGTGTTTTTTTTTAGCTCACTGTGGTAGAAATAACAGCATGTTTTAGGCCCAACCTAACAAAGTAATAGTTACTAAATTTTTTTTTCCTGGCCTGGCATGGCCAGGTGGTTAGAGTGCTACTTGCAATCTAAGGGTTGCAGGTTCGAATCCCTGTCCCACCAAACATGCTCACCCTTTCAGCTGTGTGGGCATTATAATGTCTATACAATGTCAATCCCACTATTCATTGGTAAAAGAGTAGCCCAAGAGTTGGTGGTGGGTGGTGATG